TATATATATATTCAAAAATTGCCAAAGAAGTCTATAAGAAGCCTAATTAAATTCTCTTATAAATCTGGAAGAGGAATCATAAAAAGAAAACTAAATCAGTGCCTACAGGTGGAAATTTCACTTGGTAACTGCCCTCTGAACTCGTTGAGAAAGATAATGTGTGGAATTTTGTTGAGTAATGACTGGCATGTGACTGCAGAAAAACAATAGACTCTCTTGGCAAAATAATGAATATTATTTTTGCTCAAAATTTTATTGTGTTATTTTGAATGGATAAATATCTGAGCTGTAATTATAAATATAGTCTACCACACTTCTCCAGTATCCCTAGCCATCCATCTAGACAAAAGTAAGTGAGGCTGAATATGGAAATCTTCACTGAATGCAGTATATGTATGGCCCAATATGCTATAGAACAGAAAAGAACATGACAGAATAGCAAGGGAAAAGATTAAATGCCAGTAGTTCTATATTGTGAGAGAAAAACTTTCTTATTAATACTTATGCTGGTCTGCTGTAAAGAGATGCTGCTTGCTAGTCAGAGCAGCACCCTAATAAAAATGGTGAAGGTCTCATTTCACCCTTTGCAGTAGTCAAGCAACTTATTAAAACTCTGCCATTGAAAGTGGTCTGCAGTGAGAGACAAGCACATGCAGCCATAGAATAAAAAGTTGAAGTCCATGGAATTTTTGCCAGGGACTTCAGTGGGGCTGAGATTTTTCCCACAGTTTTTCTCCTCTTTCTCTGATTCTTGTTCTGCTTTGCTATTTAAACAACACAGAATACTTCCCTCTTCCTTGACTCCTTCATCAAGGGAGGAGGAGGAGGCATAAAATCTCCTTTTTTGCAGGTAAGTGGGTAGAACTTCTTCAAGGCGTCGTAAGATCAACCTGAGCACAATCCTGAACAGTCTCTTACATACCTAAAATACAACTTCAGCAAAATGTAGGTGCATACTGAAGGTCACATAGAAAATCCCGCCAATCTCGATTAGGTGTCTCCCAGGCACGTGTGTTGCTGGGTGTCACTTCCTAAGGTGCCCAGTACAGTCCCACTGTATCTGTCCAGCCACTCCCAACCACAGCCAGCTCAAGTAAAAATGAGTGTAACCTCCTGCAGGCAAAAGAGTTGGAGGCCTGCTTTCCTATGTAGCCGAAAGTGCTAAGGTACAGTGAAAACAAGGACAAATCCTGGAGCAGGTCCTGAGGGTTCAGGAGAACAAGACCCTTGGTCTTGCCAGAGAAATAAAAAATGAGAGACCAATTGCTGCCCCAAGACACAGGCTTCGCCTCATTTTCCCGATCTCTGTCTAAAGCAAAGTAGTGTTTGTTTGGTTTGGGTTGGGTTTGGGAGGTTTTTTTGCAATATGTAGAAGAAAAAGCAACAGCCTGGTTGTCTCGCATTTTGAACTGGCCCTGCTACAGGGTTACATAGTAAAACCATTCCTATTTCCTTTCACAAGCTGAGCCTCCCTACCTCATACCCCGTTGGGTAAGAACCTATGGGGTTTGCTGGGGAGGTCCACAGGACCATAACATAGGACTGGTCTGGGTTTTGACAGCAATTGAGAGCCCTTCTTGTTTTCTAGGGTACATGGTGCTAATGTTCACATTCACCCTTTTGAATGTGAAGGGGTGTAGTTTCATTACTCAGGATCAGCTTACAATAAAGCAGTTCCCCATCTGGCTTGGAAAAAAGACAAAACAGGCTCACCTCCATCTGCAAAAGACCATGTCAGCATAGTCTCATATACTCTTGGTCTCAGCATTCTCAGCCACTTCCTTTCAAACACAACAACCGCTGTCTGCCCTTTGTGCAATTGCCTGGCAGCTTGAATGCTTTGGGAAACAAAAGTTTTCAGTTCTCTTGATTTTGAAGGTCCCTTAAGGAGACTCTCACTGAGAAAGAGGTGGTATCAGGGAAGAGGACCACATCTTACTTTGCACTGAAGTGAGTAGCAGTGAAGTCAAGGAGTCTATGATTGCAGAGCTAAATAGAGCAAAGGCAAGGCACTGTTTTAACATTGCGTGTAGCTAGGGAGGGGCTAACTTCAGGGTTCAGAGCCTCTCATTCTCAGTGGGAATACTTATTAACTGCACTACTCATGGCACTCCTTTCTTCTACCTCTGGCTCTATGGTCCATGCTTTCTGCTGCATAGTGACCCAGATAGCAGAGAAAACAGAAACACTCCCTCTTTGCTATTCCCATTCTCACCTACATCTTTCTGATGAAAATACTATCTCTACATTATTGTAGAATCTGCTGAGATAGGGCTCAAGTCACACTTCTATGCCTCGTATTCAACTGATTATTAGCTAAAAGTGGTATCACCATGAACCTCATCCCAAAGGAGAAAAGAAACAAGCCACCTGCCTTCGAATGTGCAAGTAAGATAGCTAAACACAGGACAGTTTGGTTCAGAAGCTGATATTCAAAGGCACACTTAACTGCAGCTCTGATGTGGAGCAAAACTCCTCTTACTGGGATTTCTTATCAGCTTCAGTGACATATTTAGCTTGCTATGCCCATGCTTAGGGTATATTTACATTGGTGAGTATAGGCAGTCATGTCTGCTCCATCTGTGTTCCTGGCCAAATGAATATATGGCATTACCTTCCTGGAGATTAGCCTTGTGAGCTTAGGTCCAGAACTGTAGCTATATGGGTACCCACAGGAGCAGGCAGAGGTCTCACTGTACCCATTTTGAAAGGTTACTTTTTAAGTGCTAGATTTTGCCAGTCAGTGTCAAGGGATTTTAACCTTTTCCTACCTGCATGTTGCCTGTTCCTTAGCCCCTGCTTGTGTCCTAACCCAGGAATTTTCTCAATGCTGATATCTAAAGCCAGAATGCCACTCCCTAGGCTGGATCTTCAAACTGTTGGGTCAGTTTGTGTGGACACACTTGAATTATGTCAGCTGTTAGCATAAGCAGAGTGTGAGTGGTGGCTTAGACTGACCTTTGCCCAGGTTATAATGGGCTATTATAATAGCCATTTAACTTGTGTCCTATGTCCTTGAAAGCCAGGCTCAGTGATGACACAAAAGTGAGAGGTCAGATTAGACATCAAAGAACCTGCTGCTCCTCCAAGAATCAGCAGTCATCCCCACAGTTACCCAGTGGCAGCAGCATCCAACTATGGTTCCTCAATATGTTTTACTTCTTCCCCTCCCCTCTTACAGCTTGAAAAGCCCTGGGGGCCTGGTCTTCTTTCTCTTCCTTGAGGCAACAAAGCAAGGCATCTTGGTTTATCCCAGGCATGGTGTGGTATGCTGTCACACTCCAAATGTGGCAGTCTCTCAGAAGCTTGGGCTGCAAGACAGAAGTAAATATCTGAATGGTGGTGGCAAAAAAATAACAACACAATGAAACAGCACATCAAGACTTCCCCTCAGCACAGAGGCACCCCCTCATTGCTGAGATAGGTTTACCCTGTTCCTGTTTCACTCTCAGGAAAGAAGAACCCTGCTTCCTCACCAGCCTGCCTGATGGCTCACTGAGTAGAACATGCTCCTCCCGACAGTGCAACAAGTGGCACCAGTTGAGAAGTGGTTTAAAAAGCCATCCCTTACTACCTCTCAGATAACAGTTGGTGCCTTCAAGCAGAGAAACCTGCCAGAGTACGTGCCATTTGGATCACAGCGTCGGGAGAGTCACAAAGCTCATCAGGACAAATCCATAGGCAAACATCCAGTGTACACAGAGCTTTAAGGGTCTTGCTCAGCACTGTGAATTTTGATTTAAGAGCTAAGCACCCCCTTCCAGGTATCACATAGCTGGCTGAGGACTGCTATTAGATGAGATTTTCTGCTGATCAGGGTAAATAGGTGGATGCACTCAGCTGTGTCTGTCCAGAAGTTTGTCCCCCTTCCCTTTTCCCCCTTTCCCCAGATGTTACAGCCCATTCGGTTTTATAATTTAACACATTCTGATTGCTTCTTGACTTCCAGAAAGTGATTCAGGTTTAAAGAGAAGAGCCTTTGGAGGTGGTCTTTTCTGCATGGCTTCTTGTATTATCCCAGGAAAATTGCACTGCATAAAGCTTAGAGGAACAGCTAGAGAGCTCATTTCAGCTTTTTGTTTCTGGGATTCATGTTGCACTGTAATAGATTAGCTATTGCATCCATGAGGGTTTTGAAAAGGGAAAGGAAAATACAGAAACACCTCAACTGCACCCCTGCTCTGCCCCCACTAGGCTCCTCTAAATGGTTTCTGTAGGAACAGATGGCATAGGAATAGGCTCTGTCAGCTTTGTATGAGCTAGGAACTCCCTTGTGTGAAGGGAATCCTTGAATGGGGAGATTCAGCAGCTCCCCAGCTCTTTCAAAGTGGGTCAAAATGATTTAAGAATCTGGCCCATTGCAGCCTCATTTCCTCTGAAAATCATACCAAACTGAGGGGGTGGTGGGGTGGTGAGAAGATAGAGAATAAAATTTCAAAGAGGATCAAAATATGCCATTTTAGCTTTTGTATGTATAAACATGCATAATATGACATTTTGTTTAGACAGTTATTTAAAAAGAAACTTACAATCTTTTTAATTAACACAAATGCAAAGGAATAGGCTATAAATATGAACACAGGAAGGTAGGAGTTGACAGCACACAGCCTTCCAGACAATCTTTTTTTTCAGTTGTTATGTTATGGGGTATAATAAAATTTTGTTTTCCTTTGCAAATTTTCCATAATGATTATGTTTGTTTTAGGTAACAAATTAACTGTAGGTGACATTTTTTTTCCCCATGTATCATGTTGTGTCAGAAGCCCTCACCTTACAGCTAGAGTGGGAACAGTGAATGAGATTAAAGGATGAAAGAAAAAGAGAGAGCAAGATCACCATATGGGCAGACCATACCTGAATGGTGGATGTGATATACTGTCTAATTTATGTTGCTACCACTATTCAAACATCTCTGGCTCCAAGTCTCATCACCTTACCTCACCTTACCTCTGCCATTCCACTGCTGCCCACCTCGCTTTACCTCTGCTGCCTATCTGCCTGACTCGTGAAATGCTAAACAATTTTGATATTTACCTGTTTATGATTAAATTGCAAAATGATCTGTTTAGTTCTGTTTTAAATTAAGGTCTACATTAAATGTCATAGCATTTATCTTTCATAAAATGAGACAGCAAGGACACTAATTTCCCAGGCACTCAATCACTGCCCGGTGCCACCGGAGAGAGTAGCTGTGGAGGCGCGTGCCCACCATTCACAGCCGGCTTGACAGCACCCAGGCGGAATCATAAAAGTCAATTAATCATTAAAAGCTGTTACCAGCCCGTATTGAACTGCTGTGGCACAAAATGTTAATCAGCCCCACATCAATACCATAAATTCCTGCAAATTGGAGCGGTCGATAACGCCGAGGCCGGGCAGGTCGATGGGAGGGCGCAAGGCCTCTCCGCCAACATGGTGGCTGGGCAGCCGGCCTGTCCCGTGCTGGCCCGCTGGGGCTGAGCAGGTGCCGATGCATCACTGCCCTGATGGGTCTGTCAATAACACCGAGCAGGGGAGGGCAGCTCTCACAATTTAATCGCTCGAGGCGCCGTGTGTCGCTGCATACGTGGCAGCTTAAAGCAGGGCCAGGTCAGTAGCTGCCCAGGGACGGGATGGGGCGGCTGGCGCCGTATGCCATTAACCCGGGCGCTGCTGTGGAAGGAGTCACCTGGAGCTCCTTGGCTTAGGAAACTGTTCCCTGCTGAGTTATAATGTTACTCATGAATGGTCCTGGAGTTGTTCATTAATTCCCTGTGGGCACAGTGGTTTTTATTAGCCTGTGGTGCAGTGCTGCCAGGCACCCATGAAATGGGGCACATGGAGGTGTGAGCAAAAGGGGAAGGTCGCTTTTGCCTTGGCACCTGCCTGACAGTTTTCCCCACGTACCTATTGCTGCCGTGGAAGTATGAGCAGTACAAGTGAGCTGTCCCTGCAGAAGAGAGCTGCCCCTGTGGAGAGGCCACTTAGGGCCTCTCCTTCTCACAGCAAGCCTATGTCTTTCAGTGTTGGCTGTGCCAAAGACTTCATATGATTTCCTCACAACCCTCATTTGCAGGGCCAAGGAGGACTCCTAGTTTTCCCACCCAGACGTGCAGAACAGACTGGGCTAAGCAGAAGACCCTCTAGCAGAGACGTGCCATGGAAAGGACTACTTCCCAAGGACTCGGTTCCCTGAGGGCATCACAGCAATGCTCCTGCTGCCTTCTGCTGCTGCTTCTTCTGGAGGGGACAGATCCCTGCCTACCATCCACAGGGCTGCCCAAGGCTCAGCTGAGTCCAATCCATTTATCTCCTGTAACTGTTATTAAATCTGACCTGAAGTGGGGGAAAAAATAGCATTTTTAGGATTGCAGGAAATTAAGAAACCTCTTTAGAGATGAAAGAAATGCTCTGTACTGTTACTCTAGGGAAGGATTGTGTTCCACTGGTTTCATTGTCATTTAACGTAGAACATAAAGGTTAATGCTGAATAAAATAATACTCATGTTGATTATTTTAATAGTCTCAAAGTATAACTTTTTCCCTGGACTGCAGTTATCTAATCCATGTACTGTACATGCACCAGCAGTATTTTGTACTTTTTCACAGCACAGATATGATGGTTCCATTAAGTTCAGGCTGAGAAGCTATTGTGTGTATCTCTAATACAATCATTCCATACGCAATGGAAAATGGAAAATATACGGATCTACAGACATACTAATTCCCAAGATTTGTACATTTTTAAAGATTAATAAAAAAGTCCATCTTATTATTATCTGAGTTATAGGAAACATCAAAATAAATTAAGAATCCTACTTGCAAAGAAATCCCCTATTCAGCATATCGAGACAGGATGATGTTATGTGTGTTCAGACAAAGGTAATACAGTCCCTCTATTTAATTGCCCTGACACCTTGCTCAGTTCCTCCAGCTATACTCTGAGAGCTAAAAAAACCCCGCTCATTGTTATTAATTGTATTCCTTTTTAAATGTAATACCATACTGCTGTGGACTGAGCTAATAAAACATACTCATATTACCAAAATAGGTATATTTCTTCTTGTACAACACATTCTATCAAAACTGTCTGCTAAAGACATTGTGTTAAAGACCTTTCACAGAGCTTTATAACGAATATCTCAGCTACTCCAACATTTCTATTACATGATCATTAAAATGCCCAAGAGAACTAAACAATATAGTGTGGATCCAGTTATCATATAAGACTTTAGAAATATTATTAATTCCTGCCAGTGATTTATGTTAATACTAATGCTAGATTACATGCTATGGCTACTAAACAGCTACTGAATACCAATTCACACAAAGACAGTCCCTGTCCTCTCTGTGGAAGCTGCACTCTTCTGTTATAATGAGAACCTGAATTATTTATCTCTCTTTATCCTACAGTAGTTCACTTGACCACAATCACTTTTTTTTCCCTGTGTTTCTACCACACATAAATGCATGTAAACATGACATAACAACAACCACTATCTTTGCTTGTTTCAGCCACATGAGATCAGTCAGAGGATGGAAGCAAAAGTACTGCTGAGAAGGAACAGGGTACAGAGTTGCCAAAATGACACCCCTACCTGAGTGGCCTTCAGTATTTTTAAATGCAGGTCCAGTGTAAATCACAAACTGAGCAATACAGAAGATTTCCTTGCTAATGGTTTCCACTGCTGTCAGCTTGTCTCAGGTGCCCACTGCTTTTCGCAGCTCTAGCTGGGTGTGAACAGCTCCTCCGCAGCACGTGCACAGGCTCTGCTTGCTCTGAATGAGACTCAGGCAAAGCCAGCAGTGTGGGCAGGATCAACTACTCGTCCATTTTGGATATTCATGCAAGAAATCAATTGCAGAATATTCTGAGTCACAGAATATTCTGCGTTGGAAGACACCCACAAAGACCACTGAGTCCAGCTCTTAGGTGAGTGGCCCATACAGGGATCAAACCCACAGCCATGGCTTTACTGCCACCATGCACTAACCAGCTGAGCTAATCTCATCTTTTTCCTAACCAAGAACAGAGGTGTGGCCAAAGCTCTTTGACATGAGGTGTGAGTACTGCATCCACAATACAGCTGAATAGTCCATGGCATTTCCGTGGGAGTAGTTTTAAACTGTCTGTAACACCAGTTCTGTAGTCTTCAGTGCTGGGTTTATGCATTATTGGTCAGAATCATTTTGCTCCATTCATACATGGCATATATAAGTTGAATTCCATCTGTGATATTTGTATGCTGCAGCCCCACTACCTGCTGTCTCACTCTGCACTTCGACTAGCCTTGGCTCATCTAGAGGGTAGGAATCCAGATCTGCTGAACTAGTTTTGAGAATCCTTCTGGAGAGTTTTTTGAGGAGGATCTGTTTTCCTGTTTTCAAAATAAAGAAGTTCACACTGCATGTAGGACATTATTTCAGCAGTAGGACACCAACGCATCTCACCAGTTCTTCCATGTTCTTTGCAAGCAGCAGTGAAAAGGATGCTCCTGGTCATGACAGCCATCCTACAAGCGTCAATGTGGAGACATGCAGATTCCCATTGTGCACTTACTTCTCTGTGATCCAGGCTCAAGCAGAATTCACAACTGCATGTTTCTTGCCATAAGGAGTTGCAGAGTGCTATTTTACCTGGTGACAGGACAGGTAGGAAGTTGATCTGAGCTGCTAAGGATCCATAATGGCAACAGAGTAGCATGCTGTAAATGGAGGATGGTCAGCTACAGAAAGAGAGAAAAAAACATTCATGGAAATTTTAACCGCATCTCAGCTGTCGAGGAAGAAGACTATTTCTATTCTCAGGAAATGCTGAGGAAGGGGTTTAAAAGGTTATTTAGAAATGTACAACTCAAATTACTTTTGCTAGACAACTTGAAACAGGAATAATGGAAAACGGAAAGATGTAGGTATCGGATGCACAAAACTTGGACTTTATCAGGACTGTTAGAGGACCTATAGCAGAATTTTCTGTATTCTTGACCTCTCAGTTACAAATGAGTTGGAAGGCATATTTTTCCACTGTGCTTTTAACTGTCATTCACTGCACTGTTTCACTACTAGTGCCCCTTGGCTTATAGGACATCCCATGATGCATTTTTCTACAGCCCTTGCTTGTCCAAGGCTCTGCAAATTGGCTCAGTTGTTCTGGCAGGTAAACCTATCAAGGTCAACAAAACCATCATGTTGACCACTACCCATCTTAGTGACTCTTTTGCTGCCAATTTCAGCCACCATCTTGACAAAGTTTTTTTCACTAGAAAAAAACTGTGGAGAAGGGTGAGATTTTTATCAACACCCCTTCCCCCCTCTTCCTTTAAAGAGATTGATTAGACAGAATCATTTGTGAGTAAGTACGACTGTGTGGATGTTTGAAACCACAGAAGGGGTATATGTGTGTTATTAAAAGCCAGGGTCACTGTAAGGACTTGAATCTCAACAAGAACTCTCATGGTGACCTCTGAAATACTTCCTTCACTGGAAGGATGTGAACAGGGCATTTGCTGTTGGGCCACAGGAGAGGGGACCTTAGAGTCCAGCTGTGGAATGGAGACTCAGTTTGGCTGTGCCACTTACCCACACTAGCTCTACCTTCCCTTTTTCCTGCATCTGGTTTACTTTGCACACATTTTCTTGGTAAGCTAGTGATGTCTGCTAGCTAATGACCTACAGGCTCCTGAAACTGAAAGGAGAAGGAGAAAGACATCGTTCACAGTGGGGCAAAAATGAGTGAGGATGGAGAAGCAGAAGTGACCCACAAATAGTATGAGCTCTTGAGCCTCTTGAGTGTGCATGGGGAGCTTTGGAAGCAATGTTGACCATATAGTGTGAACCAAATCTTTTTTAACCACAAAAACCTAGCTCTGCACTATTCAGTGCAGTGATGTTTTTGATATGGTGCCTCAGACAAGGACTCTGAATTCTAATTAGTTATAATAATTAGTAAAGTCCAGTACGCCAAAGATGGTATTTTAATTAAGGAGAACAGAAAGCCAGATTTTATGTGCTATAAGTTAATTTAACTCCAAACCCTTCAGTACTACACTATAATTTCTATTATCTGATATACTGGTTATGGTTGCAGTGGCTACCATGACAAACCATTTTTCTTTTGGGGAGAAAAGGTGTAGAGGTAGACTTTAACCTTTTAAGGCAGTCTAAACCTAGAGTAATTCTATTGAGTTTGAAGGATTTACACCAGATTGACAGTGTAAAAAATGAGGTCAGAATCAAGACAGTAAAGCAGTGCCATTTAGCCTCTATCAGAGTTGATGAGGGCTTACCTTGTAATATTTAAAACCATGGGTATTTTAGTCAGATAGGGAAATGCACTTTCAGAGTCCAATTTAACAAAGTCTAATTTCCAAAACTGAAGCCCTGTTCTCCTAATCGGAGTGACTTTAGATCCATATGGGAATATCAAAACATGATTGCCCTGAAACTCAATCTTCTTCTTTTTAATTAAAGAAAGAATCCTATCTTAGCCACCTGAGAATCTGAAAGATAGTCTAAGTATTTGACACTCAGAAAAACTTTTAACAGATAAATTATGATGACAAGAGACAAAAACTACTATCAATAGTAAAAGCAAATTTAAAATAAAACTAAAGATGTTATAATAATTTAGAAAAAAAAAGCTAATCAGTCCTGATCTTAAAATTCTTCCTTCAAGCCAAAAATAAATGTGTTGCAGGAATTAATTTAAGATATAGAAAGTCGTGACTAGATCTCAACTGTTGTAAATCAGCAAAGCTCCACTGATTTCAATGGAGCTACAGTAAGATAGGTTAGATAAGAGTCTGACCCTCAATTGCTTTGTAATTTTTTTCCTAATCAACTAACAAAATACAGTTTTTATGTTAATGTAGAATCATAGAGTCCTAGAATGGTTTGTGTTGGAAGGGATCCTTGAAGGTTATCTGGTACAACCTCTCTGCAATGAGAAGGCATCTTCAATTAGCTGAGGTCACCCAGCACCCTCTCCAACCTGACCTTGAATGTTTTCGAGGATGGAGTATCCATAAATCTGTTCCAGTGTTTCACCACCATCATCATCCAAAATGTCTTCCTTATAGCTACTCTGAATCTACCCTCTTTGAAGTTAAAACCATTCTCCCTTGCCCTATAGCAACAGGCCCTGCTAAAAAGTATGTTCTCCTCTTTCTTATACATCCCCTTTAAGTATGGAAAGGCTGCAATAAGATCTCCCTGGAGCCTTCTTTTCACCAGGCTGCTCTACCTCAGTTCTCTCACTCTGTCCTCACAGGAGAGGTGTTCCCCTCTAATCATTTTGTAGGCAGGGTCTCATTGTGGTGGAGTAGAGAGGGAGAATCACCTCACTCAATCTGCTGGCCACACTTCTTTCAATGCAGCCTAGGATGTCACTGGTTTTCTGAGCTGCAAACACACTGTGCCAGTTCCTGTCCAGCTTGTCATCCATGAAACAACTGTCTTAAGTATTTGTTGTTCCTCAGTCATAACCTAGTGTTTATTTTGTACCCGATCTCCCATTTTTTC